TTATTTGCTCTCAAGTGAGTCCCACTGTTCACTATACAGTAGCGGAGAACAACACAGCCACCAGCAGTAGCGGCACACGCACCCACACAGAACTGCTGCTACGGATACTGCTGCTGTCAACATTACCCTTCACATTTGGCATCATCGTGTTTGAAGACACAGGAGGAAGTGGTGTTGTCGTTGTCGTTGTCGTGATTGATTCCTCATTACTGGTTGTATTGAGAGTGATGGAGTTCGTGTTTTCGGCTTTAGTGTTCTCACCTGTACCAATGGTTGTTGGAGAGTCCTGTGTAGAGTGTGTTTGTTCCTTCGTGGCACTGTTTTCATGACTCTCCGAATTACTTGTACAGGGTTCAATAGAAGAAGTAGAGTTTGATGTATTTTGAGGTCTATCCTTTATATCGCTTTCGTTGCTCTGTGTGTTGTCACCTTGACGTTTATCGTTTTGGTTACTAGTATCTTGTGCGGGACCACCACTCTCACTCTGCTTAGATAAGGTTTCTTCACTTTTTGTTGGGTCACCAGCACGTGGTGCAGAAGAAACAACAGACGAAGAAGAACTTGGGGCGGTTTCAGATAATATTTGTGTTTGAATTCCCTGAAGGATTCCAGTAGGATCATCTATCTTACCCACCGCAGTATCTTGACGTTCCTTAGTTATTTCTCTCTCACTCGCCTCTTTTCCCGGCCCTTCCGCAGCCTTCAATTGCTCTTTCTGGCCTTTATCACCGGGTTTACCACCAGAAGGGCCATTCTGGTTACCACTAGGACCCTCTTTCAACGCTTGTGCCCCTTCTTTAAGTGGGTCCTGTATATCTTTATGAGCATTAGAGATTATGTTTGCTGGATCCCTATTTTTACGACGCCTATGATTAGCAATACCAAAATTAACCACAAGATATTCCGGTTCACCAGAAGGAACAATTACAGCAGGTAGAATCTCTTCAGACGCAGAACATACAGAGGCAATACTGAGAAGCAAAACCAATAAGTACAACAGACGGCATGGTAACATCATCACAACAGATATCGTTGTTGTTCTCTTGTGTGGTTGAACTGAGCAAACGAAAAAAAAAGATTATAAAGCAAATATAAACAGAAAATAAAAAGAAACACAAACAAAGACAAACTAGTAAACAAACACAACAACAAGAAGCATCAGTCAGATACAATAATACTTGCAACAATAACCTCTACTAGTGTTCAAATTAAAGGAACGAAACCCATAGTAACCAATAAAAAAAAGATAATCCTAGTTAACCCTCAAAAAAAAAAAAAAAGAAATTAAAGAGAACGACCATCAGAAGCAGAAAGCACAGAACTACATAACAGTGCTTCTGTCGTTCACGTATATGCAAATAAGAATATATGTTTATGTATGTTATTATTATTTCTCTGCAGATTGGAATACAAAGTAAAAGTGAAACGGAGAAGCACACAACGCCCAAGCAAAGAAAACGTGAACAAAAACACAAATTAAGAAGATGACCAACCGCACAAAAATAACTCACAGATCACTGCGTATGCTGGTCTGTTCAAGCAATTAGGAATACCAATTGTATTAATTACTATTTGTTTTCTCTTTGTTCTGCATAGAGCAGAATACCAAAACCGTGAAGGTCAAAACACACAAAGACCAAGCACACCAAATGCACAAAAAAGATATTAATCATTAGCCCAACTTACCCAGTAAACACAAAAATATACACCAACTACGGATGTAAGTCTATATGTGTATATATATGCAATTATAAATATAAATTCATCTGTTATTATTATTTCTTTTCTTTTCACTGCAAAAAACAATTCATCATTATCACAGTGCAAAGCCCAGGTGCACACACACAGAGAGAGAGAGACTCCAAGAACACACACACACAATGGAGTAGCAATAATAATTATTATAGGATAAACACACAAAACACATTAACATGAAGAAAGAAAAAAAGAAGATAATTTCAACAGGTGGAAGATTAGTTAAACTGTAGGGATTGCATGCATGCAAAAAAGAAAAGGAAAACAAAGGATGACCTGAGTAACACCACCACCACCACCATTACAATCAGCACACAAGAATACAGGCCAATGTAACCACAATCAGCAACGGTGGTACACGCACCCACACAGAACTGCTGATACTACTGCAGCTGTCTGCATCACCCTTCTTCTTGTTTGCAGCCTCAGGAGGAAGTGTTGTTGTTGTTGTGGTGGTGGTGGTGGTTGATTCCTCATTATTTGTTGTAGTATCATCCCCAGAATTTGCAGTTCCTGCAGATGAGGGGTCGTTCTCATTCGTTGCGGCACTAGAATTTCCACCGCCGCCCTCTGAGTTTAAACCAGTAGAAGGTTGTTCTGCTGCCCCATTTCCATTTCGTACATTGTCCCCATCTTGCCTTTCACTTGCAGACACAGCACCACTTCCCTTAATATCAGGAGATTCAGAAGTAGGACCAGGAGAGGGAGCAGCAGCACCGGGAGAACCCTGTGCGCCTTGTACAGCAACTGGAGAGCCTTGACCTTCCTGTTCCTTAGGGCCTAACGCTTTGTCTCCTTCACTTCTGTTATCAAGATCAGAACTTCTAGGCACTCCAGATGCAAGTGATACGGCACCAGCACGTGGATTACGTTCATCTTCTGAACTCTTTTCTTGGGCATCTTTCACTTCCAAGGTTGTGTTATCATTTTCCATTTTTGTACCGCTACTAACACTTCCCTCTTCTCGAAGGACATCCATTGTATTTTCAGTTACTTGTCCAGGTTTCTTTTCCTTTGGACCAGGAGGTTTAGCACGATCACCATTACGTGATCCCCCACCCCTTTCTGCACACTGAGAATCACCTTCCACAGGGGATGAACCAGATGAACAATGAGAAACTTCAGAAAGTCCATCACCAGGACCTGGTGGACCCTCAGGACCAACTTCCCTAGCCTCAGCCTCAAGAGCTTCAGCTTGAGCAGCTACCAAATAACTGCAGAGACAACACAGTGCAATAGTGAGAACACAAAGGACGTGGCGTACTGACATCATTACTTTTTCCCGTTGGTGTTACTATCTCAATTTGGTGACCTGAACAACAAAAACAAAACAATGAGAGGCACCAAAAACATAAATAAAGAAAAGTACATAAAGAGAACAAAGCAAAAAGGGTAATAGCAAACTAAGAATTAACAGAAATCTGCAACCATCACTCAAACAGTGTCCAAATGAAAGAAATTAGCACACAACACCCATTAACAAACAGATAAGTACAATTAACCCCTTAAAAATAAAAAAAAAGAAATTAAGAGAACAACCATCGGAAGCAAGCACAGAAATAAATACCCCTTTCACTTACAATAGAACCATGTGCAAAATTATGAATATATATGAATTCCTTTTTTATTTACTCTCTGCAGAAAACAATTCAACGCATCATTGAACCCGAGAGCACAATGCGCCCAAGCAAAAAAAAATGTTTGAAAAAACAAAAAAAAAAAACTGCACAAAAAATAGCACAAATCTCGAAGTATGCTGCTGTGTTCACGCACGTAAGAATACCAATTATATTTGCTATTATTTTTTCCTTTTCTACAAAAAAGCAATCGCTAACACACTGAGGGGCAAAAGCACACATCGACCCAGAAACAAAAAGCAAAGAAAGAATCATTGACCATTAGCCCAATTTACCCAGTAAACATAAAATACACCAACTATGGGTGTAAGTCTATATATCTGTACATACGCAATTATAAATATAAATTCATCTGTTATTATTATTACTTCTTTTCACTACAAAAAGCAGTTCACCATCATCATCACAGTGCAAGCCCAGGCGCACAGAGAGAGAGAGTCTCCAATAATACACACACACAATACCCCATGGCTCTATTTCACGTATTAAATTACTGCACACACACACATCTCTGTGTACTAGCAAGAGATGTATACCGTCAGTGAGCAGAACAGCCCAGTTTTCTGCAAACACACAACGGGAAAAGCAAGTAATGGAATTATTAGAAAAAGGAAACACACACACAAAAGTAAACGAAAAGAAATTCGAATTAAAAGAGAAAGCTGGTAAACAGATTATTAATTTATTCACCCATGGGAGGTGTACGCAATTATGATTATGTTAGTTTAACCATTATTATTATTACTTTCCCTCAAGTGAGTCCCACCGTTCAGTACACAGTAATGGAGAACAACACAGCCACAATCAGTAGCGGTGCTGTAGTGCGCATCCACACAGGACTGATACTGCTGTCAACATTAGCCTTCTTCTGTACAGTGGAAGCGATGGTGTTGCTGATCTCTGCATTGGGTACAGGTGCAGGAGATGGAGTGGTGATTGGTGCTTCTGTGGTAGTGTTCTCGGTGCTCGTAGATGGAGTGGTGGTTGGTGCTTCTGTGGTAATGTTCTCGGTACTTGGTGGAATAGTGGAAGTAGTTTCCTGTGATTCTGCTGTAGCATTCGTATCAGCAGCTCTAGTAGGTTGGTTTGTGCGATTTCCATCACCACCTTCAGTGGTACTTTCCGAATGAGCTTGTGGAGTACTCTGTTTAGGAACAGCATCTCCAGATGAGGATGTCTCAGCAGGTAATGAAACCGTTACCGGTACTTCAGAACCCTCTTCTTGTGCGTTGTGTGAATCTGTAGAAACGTTAGCTGATGACTTGGTCTCTGCAGCCTTACTCTCTAAGGTTACAATTTCTGCAGCTGCTGTAACTTCTAATTTACTCCCTTCTGAAGAATTATTTCTCTCTCCTTGAGAGATAGCAGCATTAGAAGTACTGGCATCAAAAATACCTGGTTTGTCCAATGGAGGTGGGACAGCATCTGAAATATCTCGTAACACTGTTTCTCCCGGAATCTCAACATCACCAGAGTCCTGACCAGAAATTCTATCTTCCATGTCCTTACCTTTGTGTGATGTGTCTGGCACCTTCACCACAGGCGGTACAGATACTTTTGAATCTGGATCAGTAGATATTGGTGGTACTGATGTATTCTTAATAACATCGAGATCCCACACTCCTGTATGATAACCATTCAGAATTGTTGAAAAAACACCACCACCATTACTACTACCACTACCATCAGAAGCCATCACCGCCTTTGGCTGTCCAGCATTACCAGTATTAGCAATGGTTGTTTTTCTTGTTGTTGGTGCTGCTCTTGCGGTACGCTGGCGGCAGAGGTCTGCGTACTTCCCACATGCAGACACACGGCTGCCCGCACCGCATGTAAGCCACTCGCTCTCAGCAGCGGGGCGTACACGCAGCGCACCGCCGGCCCCGCACGACACCTCCACAGCCCCACGGGATACACCACGGCCACTGGGACTGTCATTATCAACAGCAGCAGCAGCCGTCATGGTATACCCGCAGGCGCAGCACAGCACAACGGCCAACACACACATCACACGGCGCATCATTATCATCATGAGAGAGAGAAAGACAATAGTTTGTCTCACGTAAAAACACTGATCTAGAAAGAAAGAGAATCAAAAAGCAAAAATAAGAAAATAAATGAAGTATCAAACATGTTAGGACACACAAATCGGTTACCACTATGGAAACTCACATCGTGAACGTAAAACCTACCAGTTAAAGAATGCAATACAGCACAATAACCTCAGTAAGAGTAAAAACAAAAACAAAGGCCCACACTCACAAATATCTCACAAAAGGCTGAACTGCCCAGCAAAATCATCAAGCAAAGAAAAAGGTATTAACCATTAGCCCAATTTACCCAGTAAACACAGAAATACACCAACTATGGGTGTAATTCTATATGTTTGTATATATACAAGCAATTATAAATATAAATTCATCTGTTATTATTATTTCTTTTTCTCCCACAGTGCAAAAAACAGTTCATCATTATCATTACAGTGCAAGCCCAGGTGCACACACAGAGAGTTTCCAAGAACACAGACACACACAATGGAGTAGCAATAATAATAATTATAGGATAAACATAGAGAGCAAAAACACACAAAACACATTAACATTAAGAAAAAGAGAAGAATGGCCCAACGGGTGGAAGATTAGTTAGACTGTAGTGTGGATGCATGCAAAAGAAAAAGAAAACAAAGGATGACCTGAGTCACACCACCACCACCACCACCATTAGAATCAGCACACAAGAATACAGGCCAGTGTAACCACAATCAGTAGGGGTACACGCACCCACACAGAACTGCTGATTCTGCTGCTGCTGTCTGCATCACCCTTCTTATTATTTGTGAGTTCAGGAGGAAGTGTTGTTGTTGTGGTGGTATCCGCATTTTCCACAGCACCTTGTTGGGTATTTGTTGACTCACTCCCTGCAGATGAAGTGCCATTCCCTGCTGTTCCAGTATCTGAACCATCACCACTCACTGGGGCCGAAGTGTTAGAAGAGTCAGCAGAAGGTTGTGTTGCCGCTGTTTCATTGTTATCTCCACTCTCTTCTGTTGTACTGCCGCCGCTGTTTCCAGTTTGGCCATCACCTGAAGACTCACCAACACTCACCTCAGGAGTAGTAGGACCAGGAACAGGAGAAGGAGGTTCAGAAGAAGAAGAAGAAACAACACCCGATACAGCCTCACTAGCCGCAGATTCTCCTTGTTCACCAGAAGCACCAATTGGACCTGGTTTACCATTAGGATGACCTTCTTTTTGAGGATTAGGTGTAGGTTGACCCGGTTCTTGCGTTGCCTTTGGTGGACAAGTGGTTTTACCATCGTCACCGCAATTGCCTGTAGGTTTAAGTGTAGGGGGAGTGCAACCATCCTTCTCTGAAGATTCCGCACATTCAGCACGAGCAGCTTCATCTTCACTACCGCTAGTAGAGCACGGTGCATTAGTGTTGTCTGAAGTACAAGCTTTTTCACCACGAGGAGGAGAACCAGGTGGTGGTGGTGGACCTGGAGGTGGTGGTGGAACAGGAGAAGTAGTACGCGAACAAGTGTTTTCACCATCAGGAGGATCAGCACCTTCAGGGCACTTGCCACCAGCAGGAGGAGGAGCAGTACAAGGTTTATCACTAGGAGGTTCAGAACCTTCAGGACAACGACCATCAGTAGGAAGAAGAACAGACTCAGAACCCGTCTCAGCTGTCACACCCAAAGAGACAACACTCAACAGCAAAGCGAGAAAACACAACACACGAGACATCATCACGACAGCAAGATTTAGTTTGTTGTTTTAGGCCACTTGAATGCATAAGAAAGAAGAAGAGGTAAAGATAATTAATACAAACACTCAATACATTAGAAACACACACAGAGAGAAACAAAGGAGAGCACAACACACAATCAATCACACAAAACAACATAAGGAGCAAACGAAAAAATAATTAGTAACAGCGAAGAGGCAATACTCCAACATCACTCATAGTCCAATTAAAGACAAAGCCCACAGCATCCAGGATGAAACAAAAAAAAAAAAAAAAAACACATTTCACAAAAAAAGAAAAAAATATAAATCAAAAAAACGAAAAGCTTACGAAGAAAATAAACAAATATATAATAGTGTCTTCGCCTGTCAGCATATATAAAACTACAAATAAATATATATTGTTTTTAATTACTTTTCCTTTGCACAAACCAAAGAAACCTAACAGTGCAAAAGAAAGCACACAAAGGGCAGAAGAAAAACCAATAGTAAAAGAAAACAAATTAATAACGTGCCCAATTAAGTACCTAAAGGAAACAAATACACCAAGTCTGAGTATAAACAGTTGTATACCCCATTACGCATGTATATATGCATATTATTTTTGTTTCAGTTTTTCATTCCAAAAAGGAGACTATCCAATTATACTGGGTAAAGCATACAGTATCCCAAGCACAGAGTACGTAGTAGCATATATAGAATAAAGATAATAAAACAAAACACATTAACATTATATACGAAACATAAAATCCCAACAGGTGGAAGATTAGTTAGACTGTAGTGTGGATGTATGCAAAGAAGAAAAGAAAAAACAAAGGATGACCTGAGTCACACCACCATCACACCACCATTACAATCAGCACACAAGAATACAGGACATTGTAACCACAATCAGTAGTGGTACACGCACCCACACAGAACTGCTGATACTGCTGCTGCTGTCTGCATCACCCTTCTTGTTGTTTGTGAGTTCAGGAGGAAGTGTTGTTGTTGTTGTGGTGGTGGTGGTTGTATCTGTGCTATCTGCATCATTTGGTTTATTTGTTGATTCACTCCCTGCAGGTGTACTGCCGTTTTCAGTCGTTCCACCATCAGAATCACCGGTACTCTCTGTGGACGAATTAGTGGGAGAAGGAGAAGTTGGTGTTGTTGCGCTTTCAGTTTGACCAACACTTGTAGAGTCACTACTGTTCCCATCTCCTGGTGAAGAAGATGTAGTGGAAGGACCAGCAGCTGGAGCAGAAGGAGCAGCTTCGCCAGAAGCGCCTGCAGAAGGTTCGGCAGCAGTATGAGGAGGTCTAGAAGAAAGAGAATTAGAGATACCACCAGTACCATCTTCACCTTCTCTACCAGCATCATCAATATTTCCAGACCCGCCTAAACCAGGAGGACCTTGAGGATCGTGTTCATTACGGCGATCGTCTCTTGTTCCAGTAGTAACCAGAGGCTTCGATGGACAATTATCACCAGGATAATCGCTTTCAGTCTTCGGAACACTGGCAGGACAACTCTTGTTGTCAGAAGATGCCTCACAATCATCAGTACCTGCTGGACCTTGTGCACCTTGAACACGAGTTCCAAGAGTAACAACACCCGTAGAAGAACGACAAGTACCGCCAGTAGAAACACCAGTATCACCTTCAGCACAAGCAGCATCAGATCCATCTTGAGCACGAGAAGGATCACCAGGAACAGGAGAACGAGGAGGTTGTGGAGCAGCAGGAGAAGGAGTACGCGAACAATTTTCACCATCAGGCGGTTCAGTACCTTTAGCACAAGGACCATCGGTAAGAGAAGAATCTGTCTCAGCTGACACACACAAAGAGACAACACACAACAGCAAAGCGAGAAAACACAACACACGAGACATCATCACAACAGCAAGATTTAGTTTGTAGTTATAGGCCACTTGAATGAAGAAAGAAGAAGAGATAAAGATAATTAATAGAAACACTCAATACATTAGAAACACACACGGAGAGAAACAAAGGAGAGCACAACACACAACAATCAGTCACACAAAACAAGATGAGCAGCAAACAAAAAAAAAATCAGTAACACCGAAAAAAGAATACTCCAACATCACTCATAGTTCACTTAAAGACCAAGCCCACAGTATCCAGCATGAAACAAGATAATCCCATATTTCCCAGAAATAGAAAAAAATATAAATAAAAAATACGAACAGCTGATGAAAAAAAAAAAGAAATATATAACAGTGTCTTCGCCTGTCCACATATATACAATTACAAATAAATAAGTGTATATATATTTTATGACTTTTCCTTTACACAAAGAGACAATCATGACAGTGCAGCACAAAGCACACAAGGGGCACAAGAAAAAACCAATAGTAAAAGAAAACAAATTAATAACAAACCCACTTATCCAACTAAAGGAAAGAAATACACCACGTATGAGTATAAATAGTTGTATACCCCATTACGCATGTATATACATGTTTTTATTATTTCATTTTCTCATTCCAAAAAACAGACTATCCCATTATACTTGGTAAAGCATACAGTAGCCCAAAACACACACAATGGAGTAGCAATAATAATTATTATAGGATAAACACACAGAGAGCAAAAACACACAAAACACATTAACATTAAGAAACAAAAAAGAAAAAGAAATTACCAACAGGTGGAAGATAAGTTAGAATGTAGTGTGGATGCACGCACAAAAGAAAACAAAACAAAGGATGACCTGAGTCACACCACACCAATACCACTACACAATCAGCACACAAGAATACAGGCCAGTGTAAACACAATCAGTAGTGGCACACGCACCCACACAGAACTGCTGATACTGCTGCTGCTGTCTGCATCACCCTTCTTGTTGTTTGTGGGTTCAGGAGGTAGTGTTGGTGTTGTTGTGGTGGTGGTGGTTGATTCACTCGCACCATTCGTAGTCTCGCCATTTGTTCTTTCACTCCCTTCTGAAGTTGTCACATTATCAGTGGTACTGTTAGACTCTGCGCTCCGGTTATTTGATGTGTGTGAATCATTAGAGGGTGGATCAGATGGGGTTGTTTCTGGTTGTGGTGTATCTGGAGAAGAATGTTCTGTTGAGGCAGCAGGTTTCGGCAATTCTGTGCGTGCAGTATTCGTTTCTTTGTTGCGGTTTTCTTCTTGAAAGCCCTGTGTTACTCTGTCTATCTGTCTCGATTCCCCTATAGAAACAGTAACACGTGACCCATCATGTGGCTGCTGCTCAGGAGATAACGATGAAGATGGCCCTGGCTGTGGGTTATTTCCATGAGTGACCCTTTCCTTTTCTTCTCTCTTCTCATCGTCACCTGCTGGATCCTCTCCTTTTGGTTTTTGTCCCGCGTTGTCATCAGTTGTACGCTCTGCCGCATCATCTCCCTGCGTGGTACGGTGGGCACCAGGCGCAGAATGAGGAGTAGTCTCAGTTCGAGGAACGGATGGAACGTGAGGTCCCGCCTTCTCAGGAGATGCATTCGAAGTACAAGATCCATCAGCTTGAACAGTGCCTTCACATCTACCACTCGAAACTTCAGATCCAGTATGAGTGGTCTGCGTTAACGGTTCACTCATTCCTTCAGAATGAGGCTTTTTATCTTCCTCTTCAGCCGCCACACACACACAACCAATACTTAGAAGCAAAGCCACAATACAAATCACACGGCGCATCATCATCATAACGGACATCGACAATCTTCTTCTTTTTGTCATCTTCGTCACTTGAGGTCATAAGTCTACACAGTGAGTGTGGAAGAGGAGAAGAAAGAAGAGAGTGAGACACACATAGTGAGTGGATACAGGACACAAATACTCACAGTGGAAGAGAAAAAGTAAAGCAGCAACAGTACAGTAAACCAACAAAAAGGAATATCCGCTTGTATGATAATATGTACCCCTTAATAGAAAAAGAAGACCACACAATACCCAAATGAGCAAGAGCCAAACACACACACACAATACCCCACGGCTCTATTTATGTATTAAATTACTGCACACACACATATCTGTGTGTACTAGCAAGAGATGTATACCGTCAGTGAGCAGAACAGCCCAGTTTTCTGCACACACACACAACGGGAAAGCAAGTAATGGAATTATTAGAAAAAGAACACACAAA